GCATGGTGTAATGTGACTAGAGACAGCGAATACTAGGCGCACTCTGTCTGAATCATGAAGAAGAGTTTTATATCCATTATAGTTCATTATAGTCCATTACATTATAGTTGAACCGAAATTGTAGGACTTTATATACCAATCAATTGGTATGCTGTGAGGATACCCCAGAAAACCATTCCAATTTCGGGGTGCTATTGATCTACATAGACAACTTTTGTGACTACCTGATATATTCACGAAGAAAATTCATCGCAAAGGAGCATTCAGCGGAAGTGCCTACGCACGACACGGAAGGGCTTAGCACGAGCTGCAACCAGGGAGTTTATGAAAGCCCCTTTGATTTTGTATATCCTACCACTCCTTTACTGAAGGCCGGCACTCATTGTTCATATTTCGTATCCGGCCAGTCGTCCAAACCGAGAATAACGATAGCCCCACTCTTGATTCCCGTCATTTTTACAACAGCTGAACAATCGAGTCTCTGCAACTAGACACTGGAATACTTTAAGGTTGGTAAGAAAATTTTCGGACATTTTCACGCTACCTCCCCCCCCCCCCCACTCCCACCACAATAACGACACCACCTCGACCTTTCGGCGGTATGCGGTAGCTAGTCAATTTCAGCAGCGTAATGCAGGATGTGTTGTAATCAGTCTTTGAGTGACCTACTGTGAGCAAAAGAGTGCCTTCGGATTCAAACTGAGTTGGAGAGTGCCTTCGGATTCAAACGTCCACTTCGTCCCAAAATATGACGACCCCCTCAACTTCCGACCTGCAAAGTTCGTGGCCATTTCTCACAGATTACAAATGATATCATAGGTCTTCCGCAAATCTGAATACTCCTTGATCTACCGCAAGATATCTTTTTAATTGGAATGAAATCTAAATTAGAACTCAATCTCAAAGCCGGCGTCGCATCGAATTCTGGGACAACACGAGAATCTTTGCAGCAAATCCTTGTTGGCAATGGCCCGAAGAAATTGCGACTGCGAGCTTACCCCACCTACATGGCCTTCCGGGTGCGCTAAGTCTTTTCTAAAAGAAATAAAAAATGCTTTTTACGGCGTTTTTCCACCGTGGAGAGTAGAGGCCCTCCAACTTTCTCCAGGGCACAAACACCGTTGTATAAACATTTTTTGACATTTCAAGCACAGCACTGGACATAGCGCATCCAGGAGGTGCGTAGGTGTGAAAAGCCGCAGTGCAATTTTACCGATCAGCTGCCTTTCAAGGCAGTGTTCCGGCAGATTCTGCATTCCCATCTATTTGCATGTTTTGGGCCTTTTCGATCGTAGACCCCGAATGCTTTAAAACGAGTGAAAAGACCTCTTTCGGGCCTTTTACGCAATCAAAAGGCAACTCGGACGAGAATTTCAAAGGAAAATTGGAAGACCCTGGCACAAAGACCCTGCTGGCTGTAATTTGTACTTTGTACAATGCGAGATAGCGGTCGTGGGGTTCCGCGCCGAACAGTAAGCGAAGTCGTCCGAGCGTGCGGATTGGGGCTGCGCGCGCCGGGTCAAAGGGCTGTTTTCTAGGCCCAGAGGGAACATCAAACAGCCGGACTGCGCCTGGAGGTCGGGATGGGATGACCAGGAGTACAAAGTAAGTAAGAAGTACAAATTACAGCCAGCAGGAACCCCACCATAGCAATGTCCCAGGGCGCGAGTCTGCCGGGACACTGCCTTTGAGATGCAAGTTTGGTGAAACGTTTATATGAAGTAATGGAATGTTTCTACCCAATTTTACTTTCTTGAATTCATAGTTTGGAAGAGACTATTCTTGATCAACATTGCTCACAACACGTGGTAGCCTTTTTCCTTTTTCCACGTTAGCTCTTATTTCACAAAGCTGTATTCGTGATTCCGTACACAAAGGAAACAGTACAATGGTAAAACTCTCTTTACTTGCCCCGTTTCCACTTTAACGGACAAGAGGAACATGTCTTATTGCATGTTGGGCAATTATGCTACATTATGCTTCATGATATGATTTTTCAAAAAGAAATGAACTTGCATCTTCGGTACAAACTTGGCTTGTCGATGTAGCCCTTAGAAGTCGCTAAAAATTTAGAGCAGTGTAATTACGAAACTCTGGTCTGCACTTAAAAAATTGGTCCTACTTTCAATAAAATTTATGGAAGATTTTAATTTTAGAGTAAGATAAAACTAAATGCATTTTTTGGTCACTGGATGATTTCAGCTCTTGCGGTTCTCCTGAAAAAGTCATTTATAGCTTGAACCTAGTCACTGCTTATCCGATCAGTCTACACATTGAGCAGAGTTTCTTATCAAATTTTTATTGGTGGTTTTTTGAAGTAGCTGTTCAAAAGAAAAAGTTTGGTTGTTTCCAAGTCTCGTTTTCGCGAAACCCTGGCATTTGTCTTATGTTCAGATTTTTTATTGTGCCGAATAATTTTGAGAAGTGGTCATTTCTTTCCAACTGGCCTTGGCCTTTCGTGTCCCCCAGAGGCCTGTGAAATTCTGACTGTTATCCATAACTCCAAACCACCAAGCGTCTCCTATTATTCTGTTAGTTCTCGACCTTCTCACAATCTCGCTACGAAAAATGTCAATGCGGCAGGACATACCGGAAAACCACCGCTACCCAAGTAGTCTGTACCGGAAATAGATCGCGGCAGACGTGTGAATCATGTTGTAGATATGCAAAGATGATCTACAATTATAGACACGATGAGACGAACGGTAAAAAGTCAGAAGTTATAGAACATTCGTTCTTATTATTTTTTATTAATATCAATAAGAACGAGCGTTTATTATTGTGTTCCACGGCTACAGAACAGACAAGCCGAAGTTATTCTACTTTAATCCAACGATGTTGACGTTGACCGCCAGAATGAGCTTCTTCGATTGACAACAGGACACCGCTACTCGAGTACTCTGCACCGGAAACAGGCATTCGCGGCGGACGAGTGAATCATACTGGAGATACACAAGGATAATCTATAACTGTAATCATCCTTGTGTATCTATAGTGATTCACTCGTCCGACGTGAATGCCTGTTTCCGGTGCAGAGTTCTCGAGTAGCGGTGGTCCTGTTGTCAACCGAAGAAGGCACAAATGTCAGACTTTCATAAGGTTTTTTTTATCTAATACTCAAATGTAAAAAAATGATGTGGATTTTCCTCTGACTTGAATAAAAAGTCTGACAAAAGCTTTGTGCGTAGAAAATTCTAGTTTTCATTTTTGATGCTCGGTCAAAGGTTCCTCAGATGACAACTTCAGACAGCTCTTATCAAGTAAAGTATGACAATTATATGTAAGCTCTCCTACCTGAGAAGGATTAAGACTATAAGCTACTTACGATTATGGTTGAAATAAAATGTTGTGACATGACATCATGTCCAATATCATTATATGCAGGGAAAGGTTCTTTCAAAGTATGCTTGATTGGCAGCCTATTGAGAGTATGTAGCCATATTACAAATATCGTTTGTTCGGCAAAGTTTTACACAAAGACTCTATTTATCTAGCAATGTATCATCAGAAATCCCTTGCGTTGCTACTTCTGACACACCCTTAATATATGGGGCGTGCCACTGATAGCTGTTATCTTAATCTGGTAAAACAAAAGTGTATAATTCAAGTGTTCAGTATTTTAGGTACATATATCTTGAGTCAGTCCTGCTCATTCACTCTTTCAATACTCATCGCTAGTACTTTTTACGATTTGTGTCAAATCTGACTACGCTCCTTGATCATCTTATTCTAACATTAAGCCTCACTCTAGATACATATTACAAAATTTGGAGGCGATCGCTGCTTGATGATCAATTTTTAACATTCTGCTCCTTACATGTCGAATCAAATCTGTGTCCTAGCGCTTTCCAGTTTAATTTCAGTCTCAGCTAAGTTTTACAAAAAAGTCGCTTCTGTAGAGGTTTGTATGTACAGTTACAAACTAGGTAATTAGAAAGATATCGAACATCTAAAGTGCCAGCGGCCCAATCAACTAGTCGCCAAGATGGATATCGTGTCTTAATCGACCCGCCAGCTAACCGCTTTCCAAAATTAAAGAAGAGAATACAAGGTTTACAGTGTCCCTTCCCGTCCCTATCAAAAGCCTTTCTCCAAACGTGCTAGCATTTAAGTGCCTTCAGAGGCTTTGCAGTACTGGTAATGAGATCTTCACGCTCTACGCGGCTGGTCATGGAGGTGGACTTACTATAGCCTATTGCTTTGTCTCCTTCCTCAAACAGTTGCAAGAATATTGACAGATGGTTCCGAGCACCGTTTTCTTAGACGATGGGAGTTGCTAGGACGACATTGTTTAGCTAACATCTAGCTGATATTCGGCTGCACTTTGTAAAAAATAAGCAACACATAACTCATTCCTTGGCAATGTCAATTGAATCTGAGAGATTTTTCCATGCAGAAACGATTGAGCCACTGCTTAGCTGCAGCTGACATGCCGTGTTACATCATCTTGATCTTGCAGTACCGTAATCTTTCCGCGACAGCCAATCAACATTCGGGAACACGGTAATGGACGAAAGCTCGTTTTGGCTATTGCGTCACATGAGCTGCCGCTCAGAAAGTGACTGTTGAAGCAGGATTACTAATCAGTAACCAAATAAAAAGTCCGAATATGCAAACTCGACAAAGCAGCCTGGACACTGCCCTCCAAATAGGACTGTTATAATGTAGCGATTTGAAATGGCAAGAATAATTGAGTTTTGAATGCTAATGAATCTCGGCAGTATTCTCTGGGTGTGGCCATGAGAAGATCAAACTGTGATGATCTCAACTAAAGTGATTAGTGTGCAAAAATGTGATGAATTTTTATTGGCGTTCTTTAATGATACAATAAATGATATAATTGGCAGATACCCATTTACAACCACTTGTTTACATGTTTGTTATATCGCTATGGAGCCTCGTGACACTTATCATTTTCCATTGATGTCCCAACAGCAGCAATAAACAGTAAGAAGCGTAGAATAAAATGTTACAGTATTCTTATCGCTCTCAAAGGTTTCCATGCATCGCCCCCTAAGCTCTTAATTCTAAAGAAGTGTCTGTCATAATGACTAATAAGCACTTGCTAGTTTCTTGAGTCCAGATTAGAACAGTCATCAGAATCAAATTCTACTTTGCAATTTTATCAGGAAGTGCCCATAACAGATGAAGAAAGGCGCTAAGTGGGGAATAGGAGGTGGCATAATCCTAATCATTGCCATCGTCGCCGTTGTCCTAGCAGTGGTCTTACCGGGTAGAAAGAAGGATAAAGGTAAGGTGAAGATTTCGCTTTTCCAGAAGTTACTGAATTAATCTTTTCTTATTCCAGATGAAGAGCTTCCTGTCATGTACTTTGCTATGCATCTCGGTGACCCAGCACCTGCACGATCACAGCGAATATCAGGGCAATACCAAAATCTTATGGAGGGCGAATGCAGTCTTGATTTGGTATGCTATTTTTGAAATTTTTCAAATATCTAATGTCGGTTAATACGCTTAGTGTCAAGTCGCCCTTTGATAGTGAGCTAATCATCAAAAACACATCCAAGGCATATGTAAGTAAAAGATCAAAGCTGACAAAAAATTTCTAGAAGCGTTTTGCATTCTTTTCCTCTCCTAAAGCTCTTTATTTCTTTTTTTCTACCTTATCGCTGTTAGTTGCGCAGGAGACTGCAGAGTCTATGCAGAGGGTGGGGATAGTCAAGTAGATACGGTAGAAAAATCTAGATATTGAAGACGCTAGATACTCACAACTTTTTTCGAGCATCTATGCTACTCTCACAAAGATACAAAAACTTCTTGTGTCTCACAAGAACGTACCGAACGTTCGCTCGCTTCGATAATAACTCTCCCGATGTAGAAGCTTTTCATATCTTTAGCTAGGACATAGTAAGGCTGGCTTCGACTCAAACGCTGATATAAAACGGGTCAAAGACCCTTCATTCTTGTAGAATTACGGTAGGAACATTGTATAAGATTTTGAGCCGATGAAAGCATATATTGCATCAAAAAATGTTTGAAAGAGCTGGCTCTGTTACTAGCTTAACGAGCACTTCTAATAAATGAGCTTTTGCTTCACCGGTTCTCTGGTCCAGTAATAAACACAGGAATTTCTGACGGCGGTTTGGCCACTGATTACCAAAAATGATTATAGAGTTTGAAAAGTTTACAAGTATGTAAGGACCCATCACAAAAGTTTCCGGCTTGAATTTTTTAGCTGGTACCGTTCTGAAATGACGACGATGCCTGAAAGTGCCTACCGTAATGAAGAGAGATGGTACATCGTTTTACGCTAAAAATCTAAGTCAAAGCCAGTTCTACGATATGTTACACAGTTTCGCCAGATTTGTTTGGACAAGAGAGATATTAGCGCAGAAAATCGAATTTTCAATGCATTTCATAGGGCACTAGCTGGCTTACCTGGCTCCGCTCGGCCCTATCAAAGGATTATGATAAAGATCCCATCCCTATCCCTGTAGAACCTTTCCCTGTGCCCACTACCACATGCCAATTCCGTATTCCTGCTGTGTTAGCAATCAGCATGCTCACTTACCTCTCTGTGCCAACTCCCACCCCGTAGCTCGAATTTGCAAAAAATCGATATAATCCATAAAACTAATCGATAACTCCAGAAGCTGATATTGTAATCATAATCATCATGCTAGACTACCCCTGTGCCAGCTTTCATTCCCCTAGGTCGAACCCTGCAAAAATCGATAAAGTCGATAAAATTAAATCGGATAACGCAAAAGCCCATAACACGCTCCTAGCCCCGAAGTAGATGTGCCAAGTTTGGTCCAAATCGGTTCAAAGATAAAAATTTCTATTCCGCACATACGTACACACAGACATACAGACATACAGACAGACAGACAAACAGACAAGCAGACAAACAGACATTCAGCTTTATGTATAAGAATGCACACATGAATCTGTTTGATCCTATTAGGAATTGATGCAGCAGTACTACGAATGCATTGCTGTTTATATGCTCCCTCGAAAAGTATTGTAATGCGCCATGAAATGTTTGAAACAGCGTCAAAGATATCGCTGCAAGCAAAAGGGAAAGAACTCCTGACAAGGGAATGTTCAGAAATCGAAGTGGCAATCCAAACAGGTTGCATGCCTTTAGATGCATCATAAAACGCTGACTTCGAATCTGTATTCCATATCTGCCAGTGGCGTACCCAGGATTTCGGCTCGGGGGGGGGGCGACAAAAATTTTTCTGATGAAGGTGCGTGGCGTTAGCCACGCGCCCGGAAAAATTTTTTGGTACGCTTCTTGAAATTTTCGCGGGCCCACAACCCCAAAATTTTAGAAAAAGGGGGCGTGGCGTCAGCTACACCCTCGAAAAAAAATTTTTTATAAAGCTAAATTGAATTTTTTTAAAATTTTAAAAAATATTTTAGTTACTTACAAGTATAAATAAGTCTTTTGCACATTTTTATGACTCATATAAGTGACTTTCAAAAATTTCGCGACCCCTTCTCGGGGGGTGGGACCTCGGTACGCCACTGATATCTGCTTAGCACCTATGGGCGAAGTTATGAGCCGTTGAAGCCCGTTATTGCCCTAAGAAATTGTGCATGCAAAGCGCATATTTGACAGTGTAGAGCCATGTTCGGCTTAATGCTGGGCCAAAACATGGAGCTAGGTTACTCTATATTTTTAAAGCCTAAAGGTTTGCTGAAAATGCAGTTTGCTCAATTTCGCGATTTTTATGTACGATTTTCTCGCAATAAAACGGCTTATAACTTCGCTCACAAAGGCGCTAGGATATGGAATACAGTTTCGAAATCAGGGTTAAATGCTGCATGAAATTTAGGCAGCTTGCTTGGCTTGGCCACTTCGAGTTCTGACCATCTCCTCGTGAGCATGCTACTGCAATTTCCTAGTTACCTGTAAGAGATTAGAAAGTCACATTTTTTACTTACAACTAATACCATAAATGGTTATCATTTTACTGATATTACATGTGTGATAACAGCTTTAAACTTTTAATGCACGCACATCAAACGTGCAAAAATCGACTTGATTAATCGTTTTTGACGGGTTTGGTACCAAAATATGCAGCTGATAGTAGACAAGATGTCAAAAGGTATTTACCTCTAAACCCAAAAAAAAGACACCGTTAAAAGCTCTCTAGTTTGCACTGCACCATTACAACCGCAAATTTTAACTGCTCTCAATGTGATTTTTGATGAATATGACGAAAAAAAAAACAGGAAAATATTGACCGGATGTATCCTACTGCTTTATACGAAATCTATACTTTGCCAGCATCCAATTTTTAGCTAAATATATTATAGGGATGCCAAATTATGATAGTATCGAACAAATTATGCATACAGGGTGCAACAATTGCATTGTATTTTCGACTGCTAATGGCTCTCTTGTTGAAATACATTTCGGGAAACTTCAGCTAGCATATCGCAGAGCTGTCTTAACTTAGATCTGCAGCGTGAAGCAAATCGCCTATCTTTTTTCACTGCTGTAGGATTTAGGAATTTCTAGCATACCGCCATGAATAAGCCGCCATGTAGAAATAATTTACGGAAAATTTGAATGTGCCAAGATTTTCGCGCAAGCTGACTTTACTATGTAACTTTTTTATATGCTTCAAAGCTTTTCAAATGGTCGCGCATTTTTGAGGAACAATAGGAAGACATCACGAAATACGTCATAACTTGTGAGGAAAGCACTACCGTAAAATGCAAACTTTATAGGAGACAGCGATTTTCTGACTTAGGCTAGTGTAAGAAGCTTCAGTTTGCTTAGTTTGCTCTCTAAGGTCAAATAGGCCTTGTCTAAACTAAAACCCTCTCTAAGCTTTCTATCGTAGTTCTGCAGTAAAAGACCGATAATCCGCCCCATACTGTAGATCTGATTGTAAGTTGAAGACAGCTCTACAATATGCTGCCTAGAACAGCCGCGAAAACCCTTCATACAAGAGAGTCATTGGAAATCAGACGTTCGATTTGTTTTTTGATATCACCCTGTGTAGAGATGTATACTGGGGCGAGTAGCGTAGTAGTATGTGGCGCCGCTATTACCAGATAGGGCACAGGTTCGATCCCTGTCCCTGTGCCAACCAAGCCCTCTACCCTCCGGGGCCGGTAAATTGGTACCAAAGTAATCTGAGAGGATAAAAGCACTGACTTGGTAAACGGCTGGCCCTCGCAAGTCACTATATAGGCTCGCACGCATACAATTGCCTCTTCGACTATGAAGTAGTGTGCTTGCGGCGCATCCCGCAGAGGGCATTGAAGACGCAGAATCCATCCTTTTATAATGGAGATTCTTGCTAAAATCAGGAAAATCTACTGTAGCAAGAACTTTGAGATGTAATTTTTGAAAATTGCTTTGCAGAATGTGGAAAATACTCGAAAGTCGATCGAAGGATTAGGTTCGAACCAAAAATTCGCCTTCATCTTCTATTCGAATGATGTGGATACGACATCACCGATGACCGCGGAGGAAGCTCTCGAGCGGTTGAAGAAAGTGGAAGCTGCGAATGAATCATCGTACAAACAAGAACAGTAAGTTCATTCTAGTCCCGATGAAAAGTGATGCAAAACGCTGGACTAAAGAGGTAGAAATTATGGAAATTGTTCTCTATACTGAGACCCATTCTGAGGTCCCAATCTGGTAATTGAAGAGGTCAATCAGTGCAAAGAAAGAGGTGTTTTAGGGTCGCAAAAGCGTATACAAGTCGACGAAACGCCAAAGATCTTCTCGTTTACTTCATCCCATGTGACTTCTCCTACAGGTAACTTTTCTTTAAACCAATAGTCATCGTAACAGAACTGTAATACGAATATGCTGGCATGACTCGAGGTACACAGCATTGATCCAGCTGCTATTAAGGCCATTAGGATACAATTCGCTCAAGTACAATACCGCTCACAGAATGTGCAAAATTTCCGTAGATGTCGCGAAATTCCGAAAATGTCGCGAAATTCCGAAAATTCCGCGAAATTTCCGGAATTTCGCGAAACTTCGCGACATTCCCGGAATTTCGCGAAATTCCGGAAAGTTCGCGGAAATTTCGGAATTTCGCGACATTCACGGAAATTTTGCACGTTATGAGAGTGGTATTGTAATTGACAGCCGAGGTGCGAGATTTGCTAATTACGGTGCGAGAGTGACCGCATATCACCGCGACTAGCGCTGATGGGCAAATGCTATGAAGTCATTTATATGCAACTTTGTGAGCTCTTTCTTTTTATGATAAAAGCGGGATTTGAACTCTTTTATAAGCGAGGGTTTATAAGAAAGCCAATGTACATTTTTATGCATATCTTTGTGGAAAATGGGAACGAAGTGTCCGGATACCCGTATTTGTGTTTGTATTCGAAGGGGTCATACCAAAAAATTTACAGAAGAAATGGATGTTAAATACACAAGAGGCTGATCTAAGAACGGTTCTGGACTTGGAAATTTTTCGGAAAACTTTATGATAGATCAAAATGAAATGATAATTCCAGGAGAATAATCAAGGCGCTGGCATAGCAATATTTCGATACAACTTTTGATGCGCTATCAGCTGATGAAGAAAGCTGGACAGCAGCATGAATGTGAAGGGGCGCTGCCCTATAGTATCTGGAGATAGTTTTCCTTAATTTGATCTTTGATCTCTATGTATAAATCGGTCAGAAGTGGTTCATTGGTGGTTATTGGCGGGTTAGTGGCCCAGGCATGGATGGGTTGGAATGGGAAGGTGGGGGAAAAGTGGGTGGAGACTTGGGTGTGGGCGGGGCCAAAATGGGCGGAGCTAGCAAATTTCGAAAAAATCGACATTTCTCTAAAATCTATCCACCGTAGTCCTACGGAAAGAAGCTATCTCGCTAATCAGATGTGTTTTTTGTAATCAATGGGTCGGATAACATCTATGGTTTGATTTTCTAAGGAACTAGTAGCACTTGATTTTTTCTCGCTCCTCACTCTTGGCCTCGGCGCAAGATTTGATTCAAAATATTAGGTTCTCGGATTGACCGGAACCTTCGCTCATAGTGGTTTTTGGTCCCGATCTTTACGAAAATCCTATTTATTTTGCACTAGAGAGTCTTACAGTAAAGCTAAAGTGAGATAGAAGTAGCTAAACCAATCAAGATCGCAACTTCGCCTGCACTTTTCGCCTACCTGTTGCGGAAATTGTCCGCAAATTTTTGTGAGTACAAAACTTTGTGAACACCTCTATCGGACCATGCTTAGCACAGATCTTTATTTGAATTGTTCGTCAGATTATGATGTTACAAAATCGCCTTCTCATGAATTGTCTTTCAAATTCGAAAGTCGTGTTGGCAGATATTCTATCCTACAATGTGTCACTAGCAGCAAAACAATGTAAGAAATGTTGTTAGCAAGTCGAATACAATACCGCTCACAGAATGTGCAAAATTTCCGTAAATGTCGCGAAATTCCGAAAATGTCGCGAAATTCCGAAAATTCCGCGAAATTTCCGGAATTTCGCGAAACTTCGCGACATTCCCGGAATTTCGCGAAATTCCGGAAAGTTTGCGGAAATTTCGGAATTTCGCGACATTCACGGAAATTTTGCACGTTATGAGAGTGGTATTGTACAGTTGTTCTCATTTTAATGAAGTGACCTTAGCACACACTCCATACGTCCACAAGAATAATTATAGCTTTTTATAGCCAGTATCAAGACCAAGTTTTTCAGAAGCGAACTTAAGCGCGCCAAGATTGTGCATCAAATATAAATATTCATCCGAATGCTATTCTGGAACCTTCCATATTCAGCAATTTGGCTGTATCAGAACACGCTGATAGCGTGATATTTACCTCATTATACCCATTTGTTTTTTTATATTCATTTTTTTAACCTGTCATCGAAACAGTCACATGGACACGCAAGAAGCAGATTGCATGAAAAAAAATCTTGGACTGCGTGATCATCTTTTATGACTAGCTGCTAATGGAAAGTTCCTTTTTTTTGCTCGGGGCTAAGTAGTGTGTTTCATATGCTCGAAATCTATCACACATTCAAAAAAATTCGGGACTTTGAGACCTAAACCCACACATTGTAGCTTTTCTTTCTCACAGGAGGTTATTATGTATAGCTTCACTCCTTCATTTTTTGAAGTAAGGAGGTCATTTTACAGTAAAGACGAAGATGTGAAGAACTTCGTTACTGAACTGCAAAAATCTGGCGTCCTTAAAAAAAGTCTTATCGTTTCAAACACGAAACCTTCCCAAACCGTTGCACAATTGTATGAAATGAACGATGAAAACGTAGCAGGAACGGACAAGAATATTATCGAGAAGATTATCGATTTCGGTAGGTTGACTTCCTTCAGAAGCTTGGCATAATTGAAGAATAACAGTCGTTATAGGTCGTTCCACTGAAACGACGGAACAAACGCAGGGTACTCGAACTTCTAGAAGATCAACTGGCAGACCGACAACTGGTAAGTCGTGTTAATTTTGAAGGACCTCAAAGCTTGGCAATTTGTTTCCCTTGCTTGGTAGTTCATGCTGCTATCCAGAAAGTAGCTTCCGGATTATACAGCTCTACTGCAGCGCATTTTCCAAAATGTTGTTTCTGTTTCCAAAAAAAGATCCGCATTTGAACTCTTGCAAATGGTGAAAATCTGAGGAAATGAGATTAGTTGTTCTGATTTGTTGCTTCTTTTTGCACTAATGTCAATTGTCGCTTATGATTTTTTCCACACTTCAAAAAAGCATATCAACGTTGACTATTTGATCATTAAAAAGTCTTTTCTTTTTCGTAGCACGTATGCGATATATGCGATTAACATGTCACAGCTCTTTACATAATATTTCGTCAGTTTCGAAGCAAACATTTAGGCTAAATAGCAACACTGTACTTTACGCTGAAGAAAAGTTGCCTGACATACGGATAGACGGTACGCCAGAGCTATGACGATCTCGACACAACACTGTCTTTTGATTCTAGTTTATCGCTCACTTTGTTGGCCCATAGCTTAGAACAATCGAGCTATGGCAACAAGCATTCGGCTTGAACATCTCCGAAATTGACAGAACATGAAGGAAGCCAAACGTGGCTTTCTCAACGATGCACTAGCGCCGTTGTTACACTCGTCAACAAGACCACGGCGGCTATTTATTTGCACTTTGTGTCGAAATACGATGACGAAAGTTCTTGAATAGTTGTCGGCATGTGAAGGGACTATACAGCAATTTCATACCGCAGTAGTCTACGGCAGATAGTCCTCCCTTCACCTTGCATGCGGATCTACCGTATCAGTCTTGAAATATGTAGTGGTAGGCTTGGACAGATCTGTTTGGAAAAAGATAAAGATTGAGCGCAGCGCTGAAAAAGGCTGTTGACGAACTAGAAAAAAATGGTATGAACTTGGCTTGGGCATAGCGATGTAATATGCCAATAAACAAACACTGATTGGGTACAAAATGATAGAATATTGATCAGGAGAGGGAGGGGGGGGGGACCGGGTAATCGAACAGCCATGAACTTCATTGACTTACCGCAGTCTGCTCGTACATAACACTTCAACAACTTACCATGTAAAGCGAGTAATTTTACCTTCAATTCAGTGAATTACGTAAAACATTGTGGTTTACTATGCTCGTACATACATACTCACAAAACGACGTTCATTCCATTTTTCTGCTGACACGACCGAATTGTAGCGCCACCTGCAACGAGGTACAATTGTCTATTCGTCGGTGATTTGTACAATTATGGGAATGATGGTGAATCCTATGCACAAGTGAGTAATTTGCCCCAGATTTCCAAAAAAACTGAAATTGTCCTGTTAAGGAAGCTGAACTCCTTTCTCAAGTCGGTTACGATATTTTCGATGAAAGTCGGGCGAAAATTGGTCTATGGGCATATGGACACACAGATTTCCCCAGAAATGCCAATGCATCACTGAGTGATATGAGTAGAAATCATGAGGAACTAGATAAGAAACTTTCGAAGATGAAATATGCTAACAAAAGCGATCCTTTCACTACTAAAGAGTAAGAAATATTACATATGAAATTACATTCAAAAATTTACAAAATGTTAAGGGCCGTCGAGGCAATCAATGAGATGTATGATACGCAGAAACAATTGAACTGCTTGATCTTTTTGACTGCTCAGTAAGTACTTTGCCTTAAGTTGGAGAAAGAAAAGAATTTTTTGCGAATGTGAGTCTAATTCAGAAAGCGCACGAGTGGTTTACCTCGAATAGCGCCAAAGCATCTCCAATTTGAAAAGGTGGTGGTGGTTGGCCTTAGCGGTAGGTTTTCTTTTTGTATAAAACAATTGTTCTTATTTCCAATGCTTAAACTGCAGACACTCATCCGAAGGAGATCGTGCCCGTAGAAAATGGTGTGCTCATTTCAATTCCATTCTATTACGTGGAAACAGATGTACGAGCCATTGTCGAAGCTATCATCGGGTAATAAGATATAATACAAGCGAAATTTGCGCGATCTTAGATAGAATGGATTCATATTTCAGGCAAAAGACTACGACCATACTCCCTACTGGCAGCACGAAAAGTGCGACTTAAAGCAGTTTTCTAAATAAATTTGAAGTTTATGTGAGAGACTTCAACAATTTTCAGAGCCTTCAACAGCACCCAGATGTTTGTTTATTGGTGATATGTATAACTTCGGCTCAAATGCTGATGCTTATATTCAGGTATGTGTCAAAAAAATCATCTACAACTGATCCGGTCGATAATCTGACACAGGCAAATCTCAATACTACAAATTCTCGAATATCAAATTTTTGCCATTAAGTCACCGCTATCTTCTACCATCATTTCCCTGGGTGCACGAGAAGTATTATGGTAACAATGTTGAAATAAGAAAACCACGGCAGATCAACAATCCTAACTTTGAGAACTTTACGAGGATATATAAGCCCGTGAAGCAAAAATACTTCGATTAATTCATTTTACCAATACAATAGCTTTCTTTCTGTCAATAATAGGTTAGAAAGATTGCATCAAGTTGGGGTAAAAATTGCTTTGAGAAACGATTGCATATATAGTTGAAAGTTGTTGAACAAATTGCTAAATTTATTTCGTGAGAAATTCACACCGTCTCTCAACTCTATAGAGATTTCGGTAGAAGGGACTAAATCAGAAGAAAAGAGGATTTTTTGTAGGTTTTGGAGAGATCGAATCGAATCAGGAATATAGTCATAGCATGAGAATTGTGTCAGTGTAACTGTAACTCAGGGTTAGGCAAGCCTTGAACTTCCCTGCGGAATTGAAATAGTGGCCTGTAGTAAACCTCTAACACCTTAGGTCAGCTGAGGCCGGCCTAAGCAAACGTCAGGGGGTCTCATTCCAGCTTCCAGCAGCCATCGTTCTGGATGCTAATCGGTTTGCAGCCATGGTAGGAGTGCACGTTTTTGGAAAAATCTTGGCAGCGGCCTCATTCAAGAATTAATGATGACCGCTGTCAAGAGTTCCGCCTAGAAAAAGGACAGGCAACACTAATTCATGATATCGGCACGAAATTTAATTGAAAGTGGAAATTTTCGAATTTGCATTGAGATAGATGAATAAATTCTTATTCCATGCAAAATTTTAAAGAAACCTATTCTCCTTATTCTATGGTTGCGATCAACTGTTCATTGATCCTCTCTACTCAAATTTGTGCATTTTGCTCTAAATCTGTCTGCAGTATTAGGTGGCACTCCGTGTTTTGTAAGTTGCTCGAGAGCTCACGGAATTTCTCTCGAATCTCCTTTTTACCACACTATCTGCGTCGAATAATCGGTCGCCTCATCTCTTATAACTCAATGTGAAGCGGGGCTCATTTGTCAGGTAGCGTTTTGCACGAGGAAGTGAGCTCGTCATTTCACCTGACATAATCTCATATGAGGGCTCAGAAGATCATTTGATCTTACCGAGCTTTGCTACAGGCCAATGTGTGTATAACAAAGATGTTTTGTGCATTTGATAGATAAAATGCTGGACACATACAAAAAGGTCTTATGGTTAGAATTTTTCTGAGTTTTTTGAACACTATCCGGTTTCGGGGGCTAAGAACTATATCGGTAGTGCAGCTTCCTTGGTGCCCCTTGTCAGTAGTTCCCAAAGAAGCCTCAAAATTATAGCAAAAGATTTCTGCAAAAATAGGAATCCAAAAAATTCGCATCTCATACAGTGTGTATGTCATCGAAGAGCGATATTTATTTGCTGGAAAAGATAGAAAACAACTTAAACTTACTATGGAACTCCAGGAAAGGGAGTTCATCGCCACTCTTGGGTATGACTTCTTCAAAGAATTCCGTGACCCTAAACTCGGATTCTGGGCATACGGTCACTTGAAGCCGGCCTATCCGGATCGGCCGAATCTTGACAAGATGAGCAAGAATAACGATGAATTTGAAGACCTCTTAAAGGATATGGAGTACTACCTGAGAGGAACGCCTACAACTACTCAGCGGTAAATTTTTAGTTTGCATAGAATAAGTTTGGGAAATGGAATTTAAGCGCCATCGAAATTGTCAATGCAATGGCAGAAGACGACAGAGCAAATTGTTTGGTCTTCTTCGCAGCTCCGTTAGTATTTGATCTCATTGATTTAGTTGGTCTCCGCGCTGTATACTTTTCTCTCCAGAAACAACACCGCATCCTTGCCAGTCCTGAAACCACACTCCAAAATCGAACGGATAGTTGCTGTTGGGTTTGCTGGTAAGTTCGATATCATAGGTGCATGCATACAGATGTATGGGTGTGGTGCGGAAGGCGACAATCCCCAATTTTGTGCCTATCAAAAACTCTCCGGTGTTAAAGTGACACCCCGGGGGACTACGGGGGTGGGGGGTAGGGGCAGATACATTACTCAATGCCACAAGTAGAAATCCGTGAAAGTCATTGGGACTGATGATACACAGCCTCCATTTTTCGCCGATTGTCGTTCCGCGTGCCCCCCCCCCCCAGATGTATCATTGAATCTATGACTAGGAGTCGCGAGACCGCATTGAACACAATGTTTAAACAAGCCTGATCCTCTACTTAGCGGGTTTATACTTGTTATTTATCCCAGGTTTATTCACCTTTGGAAACAGGGAGGAACAAACTCAAACTTATTAAGACAATGTCCGCAATGCGGTTTCGCGACTTCCAGTCATAGAATAGATGATACCGAAGTGACCATAATCAAGTTAATGTTTAGATGCCGATCTGAAAAGAATTGCGGGAGAGAAAGGACGTGCCATTAAGGTGCCATTCTATTACAATGACGAGGATGTGGCAAACGTTTTGAACGCTATAAGGGGGTAAGGATGCTTCCAGATAGGCCTTGGATGTGCACAGTTACGTATTTGTATCGCGACAGAACATCAATATAAAATCTCTCTCGTTCAAAAATTCGGTTCTAAAAGGTCAAAAGCGTTCTCCAAAGCAACTTATTGGGATGAAATCAGTTGTTGTGATCTTTCTAGCACTGAAATCGAGCAGAAACGAGAGACTATGTTAGGCAGTATTCATTACATTTAGCTTCGACACAAGTTACTACTGCCCTGACAAGGGAATTACAACAAATCGCAGCGGCTTTTTGACATGAGAAAAGCACCTTGTATCATTCGATGCAGCTTGGAATGCTGGTTTCAAAATTGCCTTCGATAGCAGCGGGACGAATCTGGATGGAAGATAGGGCGGGGAGGGCACTTATAACACGAAAATCTGATCCTCAAACATGAGAATCGTTCGCATGCTTGTTGCGCGCTACAGAATAGCGTTAAAAATGAGGAATCGTATGAGGCATTTCACCGTCCGCCGAAACCGAGCGCTGTGAGGTTTTGATGCCGTATAAGAGCGGAACCCCTGACTAAATAAGAGCCCAAGTCCCGCTCTAAAAGATGATTCTTAAATGAGAAAATCACTACAAAAAGTATAAGAGGACCATGTGACTTCGTCTCAACGTGTGTGGTCTGCATAGAACAAGACTAAAATAGCGCTTTAGTGCATCAGTTGCCATAAACTCTCCCTTCATTATGGTTATCAGATTTTTGACATTTCTAACTACTTGAAGTCAACTTCCAAACTTATGATTTTACATCACCTGATGTGCGAAGCCACTTTGGCCGCTCCTACATTCTGGAGCATTATTCTCGTTTCAGGATTCATCCTTTGCAGCGGGATTTGGGCGATTGCTTATAAGTCAAGAGGTCTAATATCATACAGCATCAAATTATCACCGCCCTCAATTTGGGTGGGCGGTGCCTTCACACTCAAAATACATGGGCAACGGGTTCTCGCCGCTCTCAGCTTTGTTCCTGGCAAAACAAAGTCAATATTTTTCTTTTGCAGAAGAAAAATATTGAAATTTTACGGCAAAAGAAAAATATTGAAATCAGTACCACAGAATGCCCAGGTTTCAAGACAAGAGGACGTTTGACATATTACAAAGTCAATAATTCCTCACCCAATCATATTCTGCAGGCTTGGAAAGCATCCTAGAAAGAGCGTTCCAAGCTGCACTCGGCGATACCCATGGTCAAAATGTTACTGCAATTTGTTGTACTTTGCCTGTAAGTGTAAGATAACCAAGGTTTTAAGTATAACCTAAGCGGGCTTCAAATTCTTGCGACAACATAATTCTCTTTGAAGAAACCGCAGGCAGAGAAGACAGTTCTGAATGAGCAGTCGTTCATTTTGGTCTCTATATTGGATGAGAGCACATAATGGATTGAAAAGAAAATGACTCTGGAACATACATCCTCCAAAATTATTCAATACATTTTATTTTTCATGATGCAAGATAAACAACATATAAATACATATAATTGTAGGTAGCATAACATTACACTTTTTACGTACTACGTAGTGATTACTACAAATCTGCTAGAAACGGTGAAACGGCTGCGACTTTTTTTGACTAAACATTCACAGATTACATAAATTACTCCCTGACAATATCTTTCCTTTAGATATGTACCGACTACCACTGGATTGCCAACAAAGCCACCAACAACTACAACAACACGTATGACAATCATAAACGCTTACATTACTTAAGCTTAAATATTCCAGCTGCTCCAAGAAGAAAGCTGAATTGTCTGCTTGTCGGTGACATGTATAACTACGGAAGCAATGTCGGCTCCTACGATAACGTAAGTTCCACTCATAGCAACGGGAGGAACGCAGACCTAAGCCGTGTTTTAGGAAGCCGAGCTGTTGTCCCAAGTTTCATACGATGTGTTTGTTTCGCCGAGAGTTGATCCGCGACTGGGTCTTTGGGCTTACGGTTACACTAAATATGAGCCGGATGTGGCTAAGACGTTGAAAAGAATGGTTAATGATAGCAAAGCATTTAATAATCTCCTGATGGAAATGGAATATGCTACCGTGGCTACTTACAAGACCACTGAAACGTAAGTCAATGTGATTGTAATGCTTACCCAAAATCAAAGTTTTCAAGGGCTATAAAGGCTATTAATGCGATGAGCGAACAGCAACTAGACTGCTTGGCATTTTTCACTGCTCAGTAAGTTCGAATTGCGGCCTACCTATATTGGAAAAGTACAGTGCTATTGAGTTCATTTCAGAAACAACACAAAGGGTCTTCCGAAACTAGAACCCAAGAACAAAGGAATCAAGTCAATTGTAGTTGTTGGACTTAGCGGTTTGTCTATGAATTCTTTTTTGATTCAAATCTGGGCAAAAGTCTTACAATACGCAAAGGAAGTCAAGCAATAAAACGTGGATTTTATAGGAACGAAGCCTGATGACATCGTGCCAGTAGGAGGTAAAATGATATCTGTTCCGCACTATTATTTGGACGAAGATGTGGATAAGATAGTTGCAGCTATATTAGAGTGAGTGAGCTCACATTCAGGCTGTATTGGTAGAAGTGAAATAGACCAGAATATGCTTTTAGCGATAAACCCTGGACGACTAAGAGACCTACCACAACAAGACCGACTACGAAAAAACCTACAACACCGAGTATATTTTTGCGATATGTTGCATTATCTTGAATCATTGCTGATGTTCCTAAATCAAACGGAAAAACCATATGACACCCGTACAGCAAAATCACTTAGAATTTGCGTTGCAGAGCCCATTGACCTGAAATGCCTCATGGTTGGCGACTTGTTTGGTTTTGGAGCAAGCGCCGATGACAGATATTTGGATGTAAGCTATTTTGAAAACCTCTAGCTTTATAACGAGTGTTTTCTGCAAGTAATTCTTTAAGGAAGCCGAGTTTATCGATGCTCTTGGGTATGACTTCTTTGGAAGCAGTGGCACTAAGCCAATGGCCGGAGTATGGGCTTATGGTTACACGACATTCCCAAAATCGCCAGATCTTAGCAAAATCACTGCTAATCGTAGCGTTTTTCGGGACGAACTATTCAAAATGCAGTATCAACACCGATCTGATCCCTTGACAACATCAAAGTTAGAAATTATTTTTGCAATGCGTTGTTCTTTAGAGCATGCGGTATTTCAGCGCAATTGAAGTAATTAACAAGCTGGGAGCAGACAGTCGTGTCAACTGCTTGGTTTTCTTCTCAACAAGGTCGAAATTTGTCATTATGTTCACGTTAGCTACAGAGGAAGTTATCACTTTACAGCAACGATACGAAATCTCTGCCAAAACTTAATCCACAAAATAAAGGAATCGAGCGGATTGTGGCAGTCGGATTTGCTGGTTAGTTTTTTTCTATATCAGGCCATCGGGCTTGCCTGGCTAGATTACGCATGTGCATAAAGATGGGGACAGGTCAGACCAAATTCCCGTCCCGTCCCTGAGCCATTCAAGCCCTCCACCCTCTTAAATTGGTGCCAGAGTGATCTGAAAGAGTAAAAGCACCGACTTAGTAAGCTGCTGGCTCCCGCAAGTCACTGCAATAGACCCGCAGGCATTTACTAGCCTCTTCGGCTATGAAGTAGAGTTCGAAGTTCAGCGCAGCCCGAAGTCATTATTGAAGATGCTGAATCTACTAATCCTTTATCCTTTATTCATCCTAAAGCATATAAATTTCACCTAAACTTTTGAAAAAAATGCGTACCTTTGCAAGCAATTTATCTATGCAGGCCTTTCATCAGATTGGAGGTTTGGTAAGCTGCACCATAGTACTACAAGCTGTTGCGAGGGAGATTTTTTTTTGGATCTTCTCGCATTTCGGACACGTCGCTCTCGATTCAACGCTCAGATTTGAAGTCGGGATTCGGAATTGTTCATCCTGCTTGCAAAATAGCGACATCAAATTCAAAGGATACAAGCGCATGACGGCTTTAGACTTTAACCAGCCACAACAAAGTTTTGTTTGGTTTAGACAATCATTCAATTCCATCCGGCAAGTTCTGAAGCGCTCGGAAAATTTGAAGATACATTATTGTGAGTTTGAGGCAATCTCTCCCTCACTTAAAGCACTTTTTCTCCAATTCTTTGAACTTGAAAACAGCGTTTTTGCTGGTAGTACACATTGAGGCAATAAGAACAAAACTGTTTTCAAAATGAGACATTGAGGCAATAAGAACAAAGTTTTCAAAATGAAGAAAAAAATCACAGAAGTCAAAATTCAGCATGCATAGCACTCAGCAAATGACGCACAATGACAGGTGCAGTAAAAATAGGTTTCGATTCAGAAAATTGCTTTTGCTCTCCCTACTATGAAAACAGTCCGATTTAAAAATATAAGCCTTTTTTTCTAAAATCTCTGCCGCTCAAATAATCATGATGAAAGTTAGCAGTAAAAGAGGCTAGTGCTGTGCCTAATCGGTTGATATCTGGAGTCGTGTTTGCTTAAGTGCACTTCAACACTTAACAAGCTTCCATCAACGGGCAAGACCTGATGACAAATTTTAGAATATTTTGAAGACAAATGAAGAGTTCTTTTTGAATGGAAGCAAATTAATGAAACCTCTACATTAATTTTGAACATGTTGAGATGATAGAACACATGACAAATCTCTAATTAGTTTTTCCTTATCTAAGTTACAACCTAACTTCATTATAATGAAAGGGAATCTCTTCTGATTATATCATAAGCGCTGTCCTGTAAAAGATATGGAAAGGAAAGTGCAACAGATAGATTTGACATCTAGCGCAAATCAACGTGCTGTATGAACAATTTCAACATCATCCCTTATATGCTAAGCAAAGTAAAGTATTCAGTTGAATTCATGATTAAGACCATTATGCAGTACAATTGCAGGAGCAGACTTGAACGACTTGGTGACAGATCGAGGAGTTGCTGTTAGTGTACCTCTCAGATATCTGGATGAAGACATAGAATTGGTCTTAAAAGCCATCTTGGGAAAGTCTGCTCGCAAGATCTGTAGCGAAAACTGCATGCTTACAACGTTTCAGGTATGTACCAACTAAGTCCACTACGCGAAGTACATCAACTACAAGACGCAGCACTACAAGACGAAGCACAACAGGTTTGGCAGTGATATATATAGAGCAGAAATCATGCGAATACTACGATTTTGAATAGAATGTGAGCATTCCAGCTGCACCAAAAAGAAAGTTGAATTGCATGCTTGTTGGTGACATGTACAACTATGGAAGTAAAGTCGACTCTTACGATAATGTAGGTTTTGTGTGCAGGTATAAAATAGCAACAGCAAAGAAGAATACATTCAAGGAAGCCGAACTAATATCTCAAATTGGATACGATGTGTTTGCCACACGTACGGTGGACGCACAGCTGGGTCTTTGGGCTTACGGTTACACTAAATTTGAGCCTGACGTAGCTAAGACGTTGAAGAGGATGACTAATAATAGCAACGCATTCAACGACCTTTTGATGGAAATGGAGTATGCTGCAGTGGCTAGTTACAAAAATACTGAAGCGTAAGTCGGTGTAGTCGTAATGCGTACCAAGCGATGAAGATTTATAGAGCTATAAAGGCGATCAATGCGATGAGCGAACAGCAGCTGAACTGTTTAGTTTTCTTCACGGCTCAGTGAGTTCGTTTTTGGGCATACCCCATTGAACGGATGATTAGTTGAGATTTTTTCCCTTCAGAAATAACACAAAGAGTCTTCCAAAACTAGAACCCAAAAACAAAGGAATTAACTCACTTTTAGTTGTTGGCCTTAGCGGTATGTTCTCCCTCTTTTTCATTTCAGGTCTAGTAGGCAAGATTTGTTCCGTTGATATGGAGAGGAACTCAATAGATTAACGTGGTGTTCTTGCAGGTACAAAGCCTGAAGATATTGTGCCAGGTGGAGGCAAAATGATATCTGTTCCTCATCATTATCTGGATGAAGACGTAGATAAGATAGTCAAGGCTATTTTAGAGTAAGTCATAGGTCCGAACTACAAATATAAAAATCTAACTAGAAAATTGCTTTTAGCGATAAACCATGGACGACTAAAAAGCCCACCACTACTAAACCCACTACTAGAACAACGAGAAGAACAACACCAACAACAAGAAGTATATTTTCGCAATATTCCGATGCGATTTTAGCCATTCGATACGACTTCCCCCATATAAGTGAAACTTTTAGCCTCTCCGCCAAAAAGAAAATTGAACTGCCTGATTGTCGGTGACATGTACAACTATGGAAGTAAAGTCGACTCTTACGATAATGTAGGTTTTGTGTGCAGGTATAAAATAGCAATAGCAAAGAAGAATACATTCAAGGAAGCCGAACTAATATCTCAAATTGGATACGATGTGTTTGCCACACGTACGGTGGACGCACAGCTGGGTCTTTGGGCTTACGGTTACACTAAATTTGAGCCTGACGTAGCTAAGACGTTGAAGAGGATGACTAACAATAGCAACGCATTCAACGACCTTTTGATGGAAATGGAGTATGCTGCAGTGGCTAGTTACAAAAATACTGAAGCGTAAGTCGGTGTAGTCGTAATGCGTACCAAGCGATGAAGATTTATAGGGCTATAAAGGCGATCAATGCGATGAATGAGTATCAACTGAACTGCTTAGTGTTCTTCACCGCGCAGTGAGTTGCTTTCTGAACTAACCATATGGACACAGAATAGTCACTTTCCTTTCAGAAACAATACTAAGGGCCTTCCAAAACTAGAACCCAAAAACAAGGACATCGATACTATCGTAGCTGTGGGTCTTAGCGGTAGGCTCTTTGAGATATGACCAATTCTTGCAGGCAAAACTAAAATGAACTATTAATGATATTTCATGATGTTATAGATACGAATCCTGCCGACATTGTGCCGGCAGGCGGTAAATTCATATCTGTTCCATACCATTATTTGGATGAAGATGTAGATAAGATAGTTAAAGCAATCACAGAGTGAGCAGTCTCTTGTGCGATCAGACCAGGTCAGAACATAGTTAATGAAGCTTTTCAGCGGTAAGCCCTGGACAACGAGGAAGCCCAGCACAACGAAACCGACCACGACCACACCAAGTATGATTTTTTGACACAGTGCGAGAAGATATGCAACGATTAGAGGGTTCCTCAGCCCTACTGATAGCTTTTATTTGCAGAGCCACTTGATCTAAAATGCCTCATGGTTGGCGACTTGTTTGGTTTTGGAGCAAGCGCCGATGACAGATATTTGGATGTAAGCTATTTTGAAAATCTCTAGCTTTATAACGAGTGTTTTCTGCAAGTAATTCTTTAAGGAAGCCGAGTTTATCGATGCTCTTGGGTATGACTTCTTCGGAAGCAGTGGCGCGAAGCCAATGGCCGGAGTATGGGCTTATGGTTACACGACATTCCCAAAATCGCCAGATCTTAGCAAAATCACTGCTAATCGTAGCGTTTTCCGGGACGAACTATTCAAAATGCAGTATCAACACCGATCTGATCCCTTGACAACATCAAAGTTAGAAATTATTTTTGCAATGCGTTGTTCTTTAGAGCATGCGGTATTTCAGCGCAATTGAAGTAATTAACAAGCTGGGAGCAGACAGCCGTGTTAACTGCTTGGTTTTCTTCTCAGCAAGGTCGAAAATTTTGTCATTATGTTCACGTTAGCTACAGAGGAAGTTATCACTTTACAGCAACGATACGAAATCTCTACCAAAACTTAATCCACAAAATAAAGGAATCGAACGGATTGTGGCAGTCGGATTTGCTGGTTGGTTTACTTTTAGGACTATAGATCTTGGATTGAGAGTATAATGTACTCAAACATCTCTAAATTGTATGTATAGAACGAAGCGGCGAGTTTGCTTTTGTAAAACTTTTTCCTTTTTGCGAAAGGCCACCTTGAAAGCGAAAAGCTGTCAGTTGTTATTATATACTAAACTTTGGGTGTAGAAGAAATTTATGTAAAAATTTTGAAAACTTATGTGATTGGAAGTTTTGCCACTCAGGTGGACATTAGGTGGGCATCTGCCCACCTAAATTGGGAAAAACTTGTCACATCCTTTATTCACAAATTTTTTCTATGTAACATCTCACAAGGAGAGGATACTTAGTCGAAAGCACCAATCCAGATGAGACATATATCATCTTAAAGCGCTTGAACCGCTGATTCCAAATCTGCAGTTTTTAGCTGCGGAACGGTTTTGTAGAGGGAGTTATAAGGGGTGTTTCCCTCTAGGATCGAGGAGCCCTCCACCATGTCTCCCCTACCTATAAGCACTGTAAAGGAGTATCAACTGGTGGCAACTGGCTTCATGGTAAGTAATTTGAATGAAGATTACAGTAAGAATCATAATACTCGTATTACTTTGGTTTTTTAACACTTCTATAGCATCAATATCATCAAAAATTTCAAGCTTTAGAGCTTTAAAGCCATTTAGAGGCTCAATTTTGCAAAAACTGCGATAAAGTTGCATGCGAAGAGGATTAAAACCTTGACACTCTCCTTATCAAGCACGTCACTTACCACTAGGTCAGTTGCCACCAGTTGGTACTCCTCTACAATGCTTATAGGTAGAAGAAGAAATGGTGGAGGGCGCCTCGACCACACCTCTGTAACTTCCTCTACAAAGCCGTTCCGCAGCCAGAAAATGCAGGTTTGGAATCATCGTTTCAAGCGCTTTAAGATGATGTGAATCTCATCTGGATTGGCGCTTCCGACTAAGTATCCTCTCCTTGTCAGTGAATTCCTATAGGCCGGTGTCGTACGTACCAAGTTCTGCAAACGAGCCATTTGATTTCACATCTACATATGGGAAATTTTTGAGGAAAATGCTAAGTACACTTCCATTCAAATAAGGTTTCATAATTTCACATAATTTTCACACTTTGTTTCCACTAGCCTATGTTCGTTCGCTTATTGAATTTGGAGCCATATCCTTACGCATGCATTACGAACTAATCATGTATGGCTCAGACATTCGCCGTTGTCTCGCGCAGGACAAAACGGTAGTCGCAGAAATCGGTATCGGGACAAAATCAGGAAATCTGATTTTGTTTCGAGACAAAAGTGCACGACAAAATGAGGTGTTCCGAACCGTCAAATTCCGGTCAAAATCGGAATACCTGCGGTAGACACCATAATGTCCCGATATTGTTTAGAGAACGCAGCCTATGCTCCTTTCAATGGCCTCTTCCCTCCTCTGCGTCCTCTCTCACGCCTCTTTCTTCCCTTTCCTTATATCACTGGTCTACTCTCTCCGCCTTTCTTTTATTGGTAAAACACCTTTTTGTGTTACAAAGTTTGTCGGACTTTAAAAGACATCGTAACTTCGAGGAGGCTTTCTGGAGGCAAACTGGTACAAAAAGCAGCGAATAAAATCTTTATAAAAGAGCTCTATATTTGCTTTCACACAAGCACCTGAGACAATACCCCAGCAACCACAAATGCACAATATTATCAAGCGTTCGTCTAGACATCATCTTCGACACATTCAGTCTTTCGCTCAGAGTCATTGTGTTGGTGCTATCTGAGGCCACGACACGCTTATTCTAAAAATTTGAATTATTTAGGACAACGATCATGAGGCAAAACCCACCTTTGGGAGGAGCAACTCGCTTTCGGTATAAAGGTGGTAGCTGCGATTGCCTCGTCGCCGTTTGGAACACCGTTTCCATACGTAGTTCAGATAGCGACGTCGCGCGTGTAGCGGTCAGCGACTGCGCGGCATGACGCGCACGAACTCTGCTGTGCGCCTTGTTTAAAGTAAGCAGAGAGGAAGCACTATTTTTCTAGCGCTCCTTCTCGACCCGCGAACACGTAGCCCCTTTGCTTTTTTCACCCAAAACAATTTCCAGCCTGACATTCGCCCATCTCGTGCTGGCCTGGTGCACTCTCAACCATTTTGATAGTCTACGGACGGGACTTCAAAAGTGAAGATTGTTTGAATATCTGCTCTTCACGAAATGTGAATTTTGTTTATAGCGTATCAGAGAAGGAAAAAAGATGCAAAACTGGTAGCAAAAGCGAAAGAAACTTAAATACAAGGCAAAGATGCTGCAATAAGTTTGAAGTCTTTCATTTGGCGGCATTCCGAAGTGCAGATTTTCGCTCCAGGACCAGAAACTTCACAACACGGGGGAAACAAGAAAAGCTAATTTCTTCTTTGTGATTGTTCCGAAAATGACTATGTTTCGGAAGGGTAATTGTCAAGAAGAAGATAAATGAGAAAAACGTTAGTTATCTAAAAGCAAAGTTGTGATCTTACTAACTCGAACTGCACGTCAATGCCATTCTAGTTTTTAATGCGTCTTTTGAATTTACAGCCCGCGTTGACATGCCTGTTTGCAGGGACGTTGACTGGATTGTTGCGCTTATTATTCTAAACAATAATCGCCCATGTTAGAAAAAATCGCTGGGAAAACACCGAAATAGAGCATGGTAAAGAAAAACGCACTTTTTAAAACCTTTTCTCTCAAATATTTCACCGCAGTCGAGGAGCTAAGCTCTGGACGTTGTCCACATTATAGACAAAAGCAAGATCTATCGAATGCAGGAAAAAAACCGCGGAAAAGTGCAGAAGTAAAAACCTGTTTTTGCCGATTTCTCGTTCTCAAAAATGGGGTATTGGGACGTTGTCATTGTGATAGTAGAGATCATGAGCTTCATGATATACATCTTGCTAAAATTGAGTTCAGAACAACGAAGAAAAAGGTTCAAAGCCAGTTGCAACGAAAACCATACAACAAAACCCTACGACACTACATACCATTCTGATCGTCATCACGATCAGGAACATTGACAATGTCCCAATCGCTGAAAATCACTCATTAACGAGACTAAGCAGCATCTTTGTGCGTGTCTTTCTGTGCAAGATACAAGCGGAGTTTCTCAGTTTGGGTAGGGGAATGAACTCCACTAGTTTGAACTGCTTTCGCGGACTACTGGTCCTGCAACGACATAAGTTTGTAATCTTTTATGTCTTTTAAATTAAAGGTCACCAGAGTACATGGCTCTATATGTCGAGGGTATGCTTTCACGCTAAGCATTTCAATCTTGTGACACTTCAAAGTACCATCACCGCAAACAAGGACTGTAAACTTTAAAAATACAGAGGCCCACTGCGACCTTTAGAATGAATACGCTTCAAGCAATTACATGTCGACTGTGCAGTGAAACAAGTAACCAACAAGAAATCACTGATACCTCGGGACTATCACGAATAGATTTGAATCTGAAAGCTATATACGAGTCACAAAAGTCAGTGGCAGGAAATAAGATGTGAAAAAAAATCATGAGTTACGCAATGGTAAAAGAAAAAAGATGGTTGTAGAAACTTCACGCACAAGTAGCTACTTTTGGGAACTGCGAACACTTCAGAGAAAGGTTAGTCATGACCAGGCTAACTCTACAACAAATAAAGCAATATCATACGCTTAAAGGTCAAGTTTAGGATTAGCAAGTGACTTTTTGCAGTGAGAATGGTATACAGGAAAATAGATGAGAAGAAAAGCTGCCAGTGTGTTCGAGATCAACGAAATCGTCAACATTGTAGTACATTTTCGCTGTCCGAAAATGTGCCACTTTTGGTTAAACTCATTTCTCTTTTCATGTGTAATACATTGCTGGGAAAGCATTCCTTCCAGTTTTTGAGAAACTTGGCAAACGCTCAATTTATTTCCAGCAACGCAGCATAGCGGTCTAACTGACCCGCCTACTTCTTGGTTGGAGCAATCAAAATAACTATAGATTTTCAATAGCTTTTCTTCCACAATAATCACCTCCAAATTTTGTAGCTATTACGAAAAAGCAACTGCTTTTTTTACGACTGTGAGTCAGTTTGGACGTCTTCGAATGCATACGTTTCGACCATGAGTATGTGTTAGGCTACTTTCTGCGGGCTTGAGGCCTGCCGGTTCTAACTAATGGTTTACGTTACCGCTGATAATGTTCGGCACAGCGGCATAACAAAAGCTCGAAGGGCTAGTTTTGCAGTAAGGGGCAAAAAAGCACCTCTTTTTTGAGAAGTTGCAATGCAAAATTACAACGTACCCGATTCAACATTTAGAGGCATTGTCCCAGCAAATGTCGACTTTGAGAGTTTGTGTGTATGCGGACCTATTCGCTATGCTGAATCCGAAAATTCGCAACGGAGAGTGCGAAAATGGATCTTCTCGGTTCCGATTTCAAGTCACGCGCTAGACCTGGGCTGCGATGTAGGGCGGCTAGCGGAATCGAGAAGGTCGCTGCAAGCTGGGAGCGTGATTTAACAATGGGAAGACCTGTTCGCGCTTTCTCTTCTGCATTAGAGCCCTTTTGCCGTTTTCGCGCTCTCCAGCGTAGATTTTCGAATTCAGCATAGCGAATAGGCCCGAGTACATACAAAATCTCAAAATTGACTTTTTGACCAAACACTGCCTTCAAGGTAGTGACCGGTAGGCTGGTTACCGTAGGCTCGGGGGCGCCCATTACTTGTGGGTGACAATTAGAAATTGCCGCGACGCGGCACTACTGTAACCCGAGTGAGAGGCAGCAGGGCCAGAGGAAATGTCCCAGAGGAACATGTTTGGGGTCCGTTGTTATAGTAAACAAAAAATACATGTTTTGTGACCAGATACGTAGTAATTCCATAATTTCATTCACTATCTTTTTCATTTTGGCAAGATTTGCTGCCAAATTTCCATCAAACAGTAAAATTTGACTTGATAGTGTAAAAACCTTTACAAAAAATGACATAGTATGCCTTGCAAGTTGGCTACCCGAGCTCTCCTTGCAGCTAATTACTGCCAACTTGTGAGCGCGGCGCCTGCGTAATCGACAGTCACAAGTGGTGGGATACACCCTATGGCTACTTTTGCGCTATTCAAGTCTCTATGCTTGCTAAGATACCTTAGGTTCATCCATTCGGTTTCAGTTCCAGAATCAGAGAGAATTGTCTCATAATAAACTTTGCCAAAATGAGTTACAGCTAGTTGACAGTTTGTAGTCATTCGTAATTCAAACAAAGCGATTACAGACGCGGATTTGAGCGATTTGGTGACAGATCGAGGAGTTGCTGTCAGTGTACCCCTACGATTTTTGGATGAACATGTTGAACTGGTTTTAAAAGCCATCTTGGGAAGGTCTGTTGACAAGATCTGTTGTGAGAACTGCATGCTTTAACGCTACAGGTATGTACCAACTAAGCCCACTACGCGAAGTACATCAACTACAAGACGCAGCACAACAGGTTTGGCAGTGATACATAGAGAGCAGAAATTAACGAATACTACAATTTTGAATGAATAGAACGAAAGCATTCCAGCGGCACCAAAAAGAAAATTGAATTGCCTGCTTGTCGGTGACATGTACAACTATTTGAGTAAAGTCGACTCTTACGATAATGTAGGTTCTGTGTGCAGGTATAAAATAGCAATACCAAAGAAGAATATATTCAAGGAAGCCGAACTGATATCTCAAATTGGATACGATGTGTTTGCCACACGTACAGTAGACTCACAGCTGGGTCTTTGGGCTTACGGTTATACCAAATTTGAGCCTGACGTAACTAAGACGCTGAAGAGAATGACTAATGATAGCAACGCATTCAACGACCTTCTGTTGAAAATGGAATTTGCTGTAGTGGCTAGTCACAAAAATACTGAAGCGTAAGTCAGCGTGATGGTAAGACTTGTCCAAAGATAGAATATTTTGTAGGGCCATAAAGGCAATCAATGCGATGAACGAGAATCAACTGAACTGTTTAGTGTTCTTCACCGCCCAGTGAGTTGTCCGAACTAACCATAGTGGACACAGGTAGTCACTTTTTTTCAGGAACAATACTAAGGACCTTCCTAAGTTAGAACCCAAAAACAAAGACATTGATACTATCGTAGCTGTGGGTCTTAGCGGTAGGCTCTTTGAGATATGAGTAATTCTTACAGGCAAATCAACATGGAAATAATCAGGGAAATACGTTATGTCATAGGTACGAATCCTGAAGACATTGTGCCGGCAGGCGGTAAATTCATATCTGTTCCATACCACTATTTGGATGAAGATGTGGATAAGATAGTTAAAGCAATCACAGAGTGAGCAGTCTCTTGTGCGATCAGACCAGGTCAGAACGTAGTTAATGAAGCTTTCAGCGGTAAGCCCTGGACAACGAGGAAGCCTAGCACAACGACGACCACGAGAAAAACCACAACACCAAGTATGGTTTTACGATGCGAGAAGATAGCCAAAATTTAAGCTCCTCCAAGCTATTGTTCCTATTATTTGCAGAACCACTAGATCTGAAATGTTTGTTTGTTGGTGATTTGTACAATTTTGGATCGGATGAAGAAAAGTACCTGGATGTAAGATTGAACTTCATTGTCATTCTTTTACATGCTAGTAAAGAATCTTTTCAAGGAAGCCGAGTTCATATCCCAACTTGGTTACGACTTCTTCGAAAGCAGCGAATTGAAGAAAATGGCCGGATTATGGGCATATGGTTATACGACTTTCCCAAAATCACCGGATCTCAGCAGCATCACTGCTGACCGAAGAGTTTTTGGTGAACAACTCCATGAAATGCTCTATCATTACGTCTCGGATCCATCCTCAACAGCAAAGTTAGGAGGTATCACTATCAGTGATTGCATTCATCTAGCGATAAATTTCAGCGCGATCGAAACCATCAACAGGATGAGTGCAGATAGTCGGATGAATTGTTTAGTCTTTTTCGCAGGAAGGTCAGCTTTCTTGTTTCGCTGCTACTGCTATCATCGTGACCATATTTTTTTAGCAATGAGACGGATACTCTACCCGAATTTAACCTGATAAGTAAACAAATAGTACGACTCGTAGCAGTTGGATTTGATGGTTAGTCCAGTAGTGGAAATGTATCATAGAATTTTTGCTGTAACATCATCGTTTTTTTGACCCCCAAATCTTCCTCTGCTGGGAAAACTACCTGGGGCGGTGCGCATCAGTCTCCCGTTTTGAAAGCGGGCGATCATTTTCAGTAGAAATCATACATTATGGGTTGAGCCCCAACGCGGCCATTTTCTATTGAAAGTGCATACCGTCCCAGCTCTTCGGCCATCTGCGTCAAGCTACTCTTTGCACTCTCCTTTTTTCGTGTACAATTTACCGCCAGGTTCGCAAAAACGGGGGTTTGGGGGGGGAGGGGGGGGGGGATAATATCAGATAATATCAACCTACCTACATAGAAAAGCTGTGGTTCTAGACATCTCCTCGTAAGCTCTCGGCACAAACCTTCTGTTTTGTCAATACATCCCCTTTGTATGTAAACATTTTCCTAAAGTTTGGTTGTATTAGCATTCACATCAATAATAACTTTTTGTGATTTAATCAGGACAAATGAGAGGCGTCACTTGTGTCTTTCTTTTCGATGTGACTTCATTCCAGGTGCAAATTTGAGCAAGTTGGTAAGCCCACAAGGCATTGCTGTAAGCGTGCCACGATACTATGTTGAAGACGATGTTAAGAAAGTTTTGAAGGCTATCATGTAAGTTCGCATATGATATGACACAATTTAAGTATTCGAAATTTCAGAACCGGAAAGACACAGTCAGCAGTACGGTACGTCAACTATGAAATTCCGCACCAAAGGTACTAAACTAAAAAAACTAAACTAAACTAAATTTTTTTAAACTGCTACCAAACTCAAATCCATGGACTAGTCTGAGACTTCTTTTGTAATCTGCGTAATTTTTGGAGTGGTCTTCCGTAACGAAAAAAATGGGGTTGAGAAAATATTAGAAAAACATTTTGTTTCTTTGCAAAAGGGTGACCATAATACTTGGTTTTCGCTGATTGTCAAAACCCCGAACATGAATATTATTGCAGGCATTTCCCCATCCGTTCATTCCACGAAAGAATGATGGTTCCTGTAAACTAACGCATAGACATAAAAGAGTTGAAGCAATCTAGTGCAGGTGCATAATTATATATATCAAGACTGTTAATAAACCTTTTGTTTGTAACTGTTGTTGTAACATAAGTGAGGAGGTATGTACCAATCGGTCGTCCGGGTTCCGTTTCCCATTCAGGTAATATCCGCTCCATGCCTTGGTGCTCTAAGGATCTGTGTTCTTTTTGTCCACGAAAATGGGATAATCATTCTTATATCTAAAATTCCAAAGGTTCGACCTTCTTTGAATCATGGCATGGCAATCTTGGTGATTCGATATTGATTTTCGCTAAACCTTTATTGATGGCTGAAGTTTTGGGGTCCACCCCATCAGAGCCTGGAAATCAAAGACCATTTGGTGACATACCCCCTCAGAAGCCGCATCTGACCGCAACGATCAACTCAAGAGATCAAATGAGATCGAAAGCATTATGAGAGGAAAGACAAAGCAATTACCGTAATACAGCGGTTTTTGGAGCCAAGACCACCCGTATGAGAGGAATTGATTAGCCATTGCGAATATTGCGCATATTTGAGGCCCAAGGGCCTGCCAAAGCAGCCCGCCAAGGCAGCCTTACCGAGTTAAATCAAAATTACATAAGGTCTGGTAGGAGCTCTTGTGTTACAGTCATACACTCTTCTTTTTTGTTTGATTTAGGACTTTTTGAAGTTATCCAAAACGCTTCAAGAGTTTTCTGAGCCATAGTTTGTGGTTCCTATTACAAGATCATGACCACCGAATCATACAATACCGCTCATAATTCGTCAAAAAAGTCGCCGGACTGCGGCGGACTCCGCCGGAGTGCGGCAGAGTGCGCCACACTCCACTAGAGTCTGCCGGAGTCCGCGTCCCATCGCCGTATCTCGCTTCAAAATGGACGAATTCTGAATCCGAGGACACCATTCGATTCAGCCCATCATCTAGTATATAGGAGTGCCACAATCTAGCAGGATATGATAGGTATACGCTAGACAGTAAGTTTCCACTCAGTTTTGCAGTTTTTCTGTTTGGTTGGATTGTTCAGTTGGCTGACAACAGTATTGCCATTGATTTGTCGCTGATGACACATAAAAAGTATACCGGAGGAGTATGGTAGAGAGTCACACTGATCGAATTTGTTCTAAAATCTGCTCAAGACCACAGTACCGCTCACAGAAGGTGCAAAATCTCCGTGAACTTCGCGGAATTCCGGGATTTAAGCTCAAGTCCGCGACATTCTGGGAATCCCACGACAGTCCAGGAATCCGCGAAATGACGATTTCACGCAAAATACGTAGCACCATAACTTCCTTCGGAATGAACATATTCTAAATCATGAAACAGCATAGTGTTCAGATCGTCAAGGCGAATCTTTTGATTTACTGCATGCCCTCGATATTCCTTTTCCAGTTTTCTCGAATTTTTCTGTGGAGGTCTCTTCGCAAGAATATAACGCAGCGTGTGTGTATTACAAAAGCAATATTCGATAGCATTGCTCTTGTAGGTTATCGTGCGCTAAGTAGTAGCCGCAGACTTCTTTCCAAAAAAGGTAGGAGCGCCGGTGAATTCTGGAAAAATCACGCGTTTTTAGATTCTAGTTTTTAGATTCTCCATAGCTTTCTTCGGAAGAAGTATATTTTGAATCCGAAAACAGTGCTGTGCTCAGCTCATCTAGTCGAATCTTCTTATATACAGCATATCCTTGATATCTCGATTTCAATATTCTTGAAACTTTCTGCGGACGTCTTTTCGCAAAGGTGTAAAGCAGCGAGCATTGTCCCAAGTAATTCCGGCAAGGACCTTTCGATAGTACTTGTACTTGCTCTGTAGATTATGATGCACCAAACAGTAGCCGCAGATTTCTTTTTAAGGGAAATAAGAGGGCTGGTGAATTGTGGAAAAATTTGTCGTCCAAATTCTACTCGCGGTAGCCCTAGATTACGAAGCTCTTTTGCTAAGCAGATGTGATTATCGTAATCAGCAGGTCGGATAACCTCTATGAGCAAGTTTTCCGACATGTTCGGGTTGTTTCATTTTTTTCCGTTTTAGGCTCTGGAAGCTCGCCGATGGATTTTGGTCAAAATGTTGATACTTCTGAATTGTAAGGAAACTTCGCTTATAGAGGTTTTCGAACACGCTCTTTACGAAAATCGTGCTCTCTGAGGATTATAAGGTCTTTTTGGAGAGATACGTTGAGGTAACTGTAAATAAATCACGAAAGCTCGTAAATTCGCCTGCACCTCTCGCCTACCCGTCAGAAAACCTGCTTGACGCTTATAAAGGTTGAAGTAATTAAGAAGTGTGCCATCGAACGGTGCATGTCTCAAGCTTCTGTCTATAGAAATCGCCGAGTTACGAGCCTACGAAAACACGTCCTCATACATTTTGCCCATAATGTAAAGATCGCATACTTCGTCGAAACTCCATTGTGATGCTTGTATGACACTCGCATTGCGGATACTATGTTCGCTTCGCTCAATAGCAAGAGCTCACTAACTCCCACTGTACTGAATATGGCGGTTGAGTGTGCTTTAGCTGCTTTGGTGAATCAGTTTCGTGGCTAGAGCTCAGATCTATCTAACTGTCACAGCACAGGAAGATCCATTAAGCGATTGAACTTTGATTAACGTTTTGTGCAACCGTTCACGGTGGAGTTTCGACGAAGTATGCGATCTTTACATTATGGGCAAAATGTATGAGGACGTGTTTTCGTAGGCTCGTAACTCGGCGATTTCTATAGACAGAAGCTTGAGACAGGCACCGTTCGATGACACACTTCCTAATTACTTCAACCTTTATAAGCAGTCAAGCAGGTTTTCTGACAGGTACGCGAGAGGTGCAGGCGAATTTACGAGCTTTCGTGATTTATTTACAGTTACCTCACCGTATCTCTCCAAAAAGACCTTATAATCCTCAGAGACCATGATTTTCGTAAAGAGCGTGTTCGAAAACCTCTATAAGCGAAGTTTCCTTACAATTCAGAAGTATCAACATTTTGTCCAAAATCCATCGGCGAGCTTCCAGAGCCTAAAAGGGAAAAAATGAAACAACCCGAACACGTCGGAAAACTTGCTCATAGAGGTTATCCGACCTGCTGATTACGATAATCACATCTGCTTAGCAAAAGAGCTTCGTAATCTAGGGCTACCGCGAGTAGAATTTGGACGACAAGATTTTTCCACAATTCACCAGCCCTCTTATTTCCCTTAAAAAGAAATCTGTGGCTACTCTTTGGTGCATCATAATCTACAGAGCAAGTACAAGTACTATCGAAAGGTCCTTGCCGGAATTACTCGGGACAATGCCCGCTGCTTTACACCTTTGCGAAAAGACGTCCGCAGAAAGTTTCAAGTATATTGAAATCGAGATATCAAGGATATGCTGTATATAAGAAGATTCGACTAGATGAGCTGAGCACAGCACTGTTTTCGGATTCAAAATATATTAGGTTGTACCGAAAGTTCTGTCGTTTCATTTTTGAAAATTTGTAATTTGCGCTGTTTCAACGGATTTGCTTGCCTGTAATTTTATTAGAAAGAATAAGTCTTTCTCTTTCAAATGCTATTTTTCGGAGCTTCTGTTTCACATTGGGTGCGGAGATAAAAATGGAAAACTAAGAGCATGTAAACTTTTACCACTTTAAGTTAGGTCACCAAAAATCTGTATACTGCAGAAAAATCTGAAATCGTCAGTACATACGTTTTTTGGCCTGCTCTTTGCAACTGTGAAGAGTCTGTGCTGTTTCTGTTTGCTAGATTGTGACACTCCTATATACTAGTCGGATTCAGAATTCTTGCATTCTGAAGCGAGATACGGCGATGCGACGCGGACTACGGCAGGCTCTACCGGAGTGTGGCGCACTCTGCCGCATTCCGGTGGACTCTAGTGGAGTGTGGCGCACTCTGCCGCACTCCGGCGGAGTCCGCCGCAGTCCGGCGACTTTTTTGACGAATTATGAGCGGTATCGTATACAGTGCTGGCCAAAACTATAAACCCACCCTGGAAACTGCCGTAACTCATCTGCTTCTCAACGTATTGATCTAAAATTTGGTATAATTGTGTGTTCGACAGGCTGCCATCAGTAACTAGAAAGGATCCCGTTTTTGTTCGGTTATTTAGGAAAAAATCAAAAATTTCGAAAAAAGCAGGCTTGAAGGTTGGCCAAAACTATTAGGTTGGTGCAAAAGTTCTGTCGTTTCATTTTCAAAAATTTGTAACTATGCGATGTCTCAACGGATTTGCTTGCATGTAATTTTATTAGAAAGAATAGGTCTTCCGCTTTCAATCATTGTTTTGCAAAGCTTCTGTTTCACACTGAGTGCAGAGATAAAAATGGAAAACTAGGACCATGTAAACTTTGACCATTTTAAGTTAGGTCACCAAAAATCTGGAATGCTGCAGAAAAATTTGAAATCGTCAGTACATATGCTTTTTTGGCCTACTCTTGGCGACTGTGAAGAGTTTATGCCGTTTGGATGTCTCTGTGAGAAGTTATGAAAATTGAGTTTACTATGGAAAATGCCAAAATTAATTAATTTGTCAGTTTTCGCGAAAATCATAACTTCTCACAGAAACGTCCAAACAGCACAAATTTTTTCACAGACGCAAAGGGTAGGCCAAAAAATATATGTACTGACGATTTCAAATTTTTCTGCAGCATTCCAGATTTTTGGTGACCTAACTTAAAATGGTCAAAGTTTACATGGTCCTAGTTTTCCATTTTTATCTCTGCACTCAGTGTGAAACAGAAGCTTTGCAAAACAATGATTGAAAGCGGAAGACCTATTCTTTCTAATAAAATTACATGCAAGCAAATCCGTTGAGACAGCGCATAGTTACAAATTTTTGAAAATGAAACGACAGAACTTTTGCACCAACCTAATAGTTTTGGCCAACCTCCAAGCCTGCTTTTTTCGAAATTTTTGATTTTTTCCTAAATAACCGAACAAAAACGGGATCCTTTCTAGTTACTGATGGCAGCCTGTCGAACACACTACTGTACCAAATTTCGGATTAATTCGTTGAGAAGCAGATGAGTTACGGCAGTTTTCAGGGTGGAATTATAGTTTTGGCCAGCACTGTATAAAAGT